AGCTTTTTTTTTTTTTTTATTTTTTTTTTTTTTTTTTTTTACTACTATTACTGTGTGATCACTTGTTTCCACAAGTAGACAATACTATTTTAGTTAAAGACTCTTGAATTTGTTCTTGGCCCCACGTAACTAAAGATATGCATGCTTGAGCCTGAAATACTTTTTAGGTAGAACTTCAAATAGCATTTATAAAATTCAGTCTGCCCGAAGACATTGGGCATAGAGACTGTTGCTTAATTCAGGAGCAATAAGCTATATACGTCTTCTCATTGATGGATATAGACCTTTTAAATTTAGTTCTTTTAAATGCTTTGAGGTATTTGATACGCAAATGTGATTTTTCAAAAAAAAAAAAAGGTGAGTAATTTGTTTTATTTAGTATTAACTGTTTATGTGATTTACATGGTGAGCTTTCCAGTGTTTTAAAATTAGGTACAGTTTTTATTAGTATGGATGTTTTGTGTGGTTTGGGCACTGCTAAGAGATACAAAGTTGAAAGACCCATAGAGTGGAATACTTTGCTATTTGTTTTGAATTTTAAAGACGTTTTAATACTTTGATCCATTGTGGCATATGAAACTGAAATTTTTAAATTAGCTAATTAATGTTTATGTAGCTGTTTTCCTCCTCAGCTATAGATTTCATTTATAAAGAAGTTGAAAAAGTTGTCTCCCTTTGGCAGGCAAAAGATGTGATTGAAGAGCATGGTCCTTCAGAAAAGGCAATAAATGGCCCAACTAGTGCTTCTGGCGATGACATTGCTAAGCTACAGCGCACTCCAGGAGAAGAAAAGATTAATAACCTAAAAGAAGAAAACACTCAAGAAGCAGCAGTCCTGAATGGTGTTTCATAAACTGAAGACGTTCCTAGTTTACAGTTCTTTTACATTACATTTACAATAGTGCTTGTACAAGCTTGCCAAAGATAGAATATGGATCGCCAGTCTTTACATCGCACTTTCAGTTCCTCCATTTGGAATTCAAAAAGGGGAGGGATCCTGAGGAAATCATATGTTAAACATAACTTTGACACCTACTGTGTTATAAAATATATCATCAGATGTGCCTTGAGAATAGTATATGTAACATTAAAAAAAGTTGCTGGCTATAGGAAAAAATGTTATTTTGTTTTCAAAATATGGCAGAGATGGGGGGTGGTGGGTGGGGGGATCCCTAACGTAATATTCTTTATGAAAGCATTAGCTGCTTTTGTTACATTTTTAATATGCAACCACTTCTTCACCCGAGGAAAACTAGAATGAAATGCAGTCTACAATATTTTGCACTGAATTGTAATTTCTTCATTAGTTGAGTCTGGAAACTGGTCTGTTTTAATGTGTTTTTTAAATGCTGTATGTAGAGGAAAATCTGCAGACCACTGGAATACATTTGTTAAACTCTAATCTGCAGGGACGCTGGGTGATATTTGGCAGTGACTGTTCTACCTTGAGGCTTTGTTTGGTTTATTTATTAAAGTGTACAGTATTTAAAAATCAAACATAGCTTTAGTTAAAACACTAAGCTGAATTAGTCATGTCCATTCAGACATAACCTGAACTACTGAAAAGATCAATTTCCAGAAGGTTTATTCTGTATAAACTACATGTTAGTCTTCAGTAGAGTATCTTTTTTTTTTCTTTTTTTTTTTTTCTTTTGGTTGTTTGATGTGCAATATGTTTTTGTATGCAGGTAGTAAATAAACTTTGATCTTCCATTTGCTGATTTTTTTTTAACTTTCTACTTTTTACACCAATTATTGCAAAGTAGTTGGAGCTATTTGTAGGCTTAGGATAAGCCTATGCTTTGCTTTTTAAAAAGCAAAGTATAGGATAGTATATTTTGCTTTATAAATGCTATTTATGAGCAAGTATAAATGATTTTTAAAAAGCAAAGTATAGGATAGTATACTTTGCTTTTACTTGCTCATAAATAGCATTAAAATGTCAGTTGGCTATTTAATCATTTTTTAAGAAACCTCTGAAATCTTAACACAAGCTTAGGCTGTTAGATGCATAGCTAATTAATAATAATACATGTGATAATAGGGAAAAAAACCTAAATTCTAATCAAAGGCAACTTTGGAAGACAATGGGGGGTAGCAGGTATGACAAGCAATTTTTAAGTAATAGGCCAATGATTTGCTTCTTGATTTTCAAGTAACTTATTTTGAAGGCGCTCATACCAGTGACTGAAAATTAATATTAAACTTTAGGTATATATTTTAGCCAGAGCTTAATTTTATGAAGATAACATGAAGTTTGTTTTAGAGAACAATGGTACAATAATTAATACAGCTAATTGTGAGGTCAAGTCAAATTATTGTTAGACATAGGGGAAGGGTTGTTCCACATTACATGGACCACTGAGGAAGAGTGACAGCCCTTTGTATTATTTGGCATATGAAAAGTATTTTTTGTGTGCAGTTTGTTAATTTATGTGCATAAAAATGTGATTTTAATTTATATGATCTGAAAGATAATTAAGGATATAGTTAAAAATGTAAAATTTGCCAGGTCAATGTATGTAACCCTATCCCTCAGATTTATTCTAATTAAGGTTAAAATGTGGTTATGTTAAATGCTTTTTCCTAAGGCCTTCTAATTGTTTTTTGGCAACATAATTTTAAAGCTCTGAGTAGTACAACTCCTGTCCTTTATATATAAAAGGTATCAAGTGATTTCATATCCTGATTTTTAAAAATTTACCCACAAATGTCTTTTTTAAAATCAAACAAAGCTAGGAACAGGTTTAAATTGCCTCAGTTCTCTTGCATAATTGGGTTAAAAATTATAAGGTATTAGAAAAATTTTAATGCCAAAATTGTGGTAAAGGAAAAAAATGACTTTTCATTTTCTCCCACGTAGAATAGTCAGATACACTAAAATCTCTTCCACAAGGATTGTTTCAGTGGGAATGGAATAATCAAAAAGCGTGAGGATAGCTCAACCAGTTCTTCATACTCGCAATAAATAATCACACCAAATTCATTTCTTTACAAATGACTAAACCCCATGTCTCGTCCTTTAAAAATACAGGTACTGCAGAATTGTGATAAACATGCATGTGTTTATTTTAGAGCCCACTCCCCAGAGCGTAGCCATGTTTAATTCAGGTAGCCTTTTAAGTGTATTTGAGAGGGGTCTGTCTTGTTGGCGGCTATCCTTGTTAGGCGAGATGATGCTATGGGAAGAACTTGCCAGTACACACTGAACAACCCCCCCAGCAAAAAAGGCATTCTGGAGTCCGGGCGGTAGCATCATTTGAGCTCGGAAGTTCTGGGTCAGTGAGACCTTGTCTCTTTAAAGAGAAGAAAAAAAAGAAGTATTCTGGAAGATCTTGTGCAGTTCCAACAATGTTCAGCATATATATATGCATTCGTATGACACCTGAACTGAATCGTGCAGTAGTAGCTGAGATTATACGGTGGCAAAAATGACCTGCTTTTCCTGCAACTTTGGAAGCCCTAGGATTCTTGATTTAGGCATCACCTTTGTTAAACCTTAAGGGGCCTAAATGGTGTCTCTGGTAACACTTAAGACGTAATTGGCAGAAGTATAATAGGAATACACATATCTTCATTTTGAAAAATAATCATGTATTTTTAACGTGGACTTAGAAGCAGCACATCAAACTGGTGAGTTCACGGAAACTTGCCTGAGCTGCTGCTGGGTTCCACTGCTGCTGTGCTGTCACGTGTTTTTGTAGCTGCTTGCTGTTAGCTGTGTGTCTAGTGTTTTGTAACCTAAGGAGGGTCTTAAGTTGGTACGTTAACTAAATCTTGGATTGAGAAATAGTACCATTTGTATCCTCTGCAAACAGATTTACACTTTTGGGGCTCAAACCAACTAGTGCTTTCATAGGCTGTTGCCTAAGGACAGATAAAAATGGAAAACAGGCTATGTCTAGGGACGTAATGTCCAGGGACAGATGACTGGTGGTTAAGAATGACAGTAAAGGAAAATTATACCTGGATTTTCTTCTGGAAGGTTCCAAGGAACTTGGAATTGAACTCAAATCTACTGTTTTGGCAAATTTCCAAAGAAAAGGATGTTTGTTACTGTCTCAGTCTTCCCGTCTTTGCTACATGGTTTGGATCCCCTATATTTTGTCATAAAAATATCTAAGTGAATTTGCAGGCACCCCCTTTTTAAATTTTAGTTCTTATTAGAACGTGTACTTAAATGGACTATAGTTGCTCATAACTCATGTTAATCTATGATAGCATTTGGTTTTATTTCAGGAGCATTTGAAATAAAGCAGTAACTGCAATCTGCTGTAGTCACTTTTGGCAAGTGGTGGTAACTTAAAACTGATGTATGTTCATTAGATTGAACAGTAGGAAATTACCACTTTTGTGGGTCAAAAATGATCAACTATTAGCAATTTCCTGTGGTTCAATCTAATTACAAATATTTAAAAAGACTATCAGTGTATTACTTTGGATTCAGGATCATCTGTATCTTCTTTACTATTTACAGTACTGAGGCAAGGTACACAAAAATTCTCCTGGAAAAACTATACTGCAGTTCTGTAAGATCCTTTCCCACAGTCCATTTGTTTATTTCTTCCTTTGGTAACTCAAAAAGATGCTTTAAGTAACAGTACAGAATTGGAAGCCGCTATTTTAGTTCTATTAACTTTTCTGTTTTCAATTTTATCCAACCAGAGAGGGCTGCACTAGTTGGTATTTTTAAAGCCCTTCCAATATTAATACAGTTTGAGTCTAGTCACATGTCAGACACTGGGTTAACACCTAACCAAATGCTCAAGTATTCTCATAAGGAGTATGCTGAATTTAAGTGTTTTTTGTTTCACATATGTATCCATCCCATTTTCAACTATGCTGAATGCAATCGATAAGATACTCAAAGCAAAGACAAACTAATTTTTCACTGGGTCTTAGCCCCAGTAATAAGTATGCTACTTAATAGCTTCTTGAATTTCTTGGTATTTCAGTGACTGGTATTTGGTTTTTTTTTTTTTTTTTTTTTTTTTTTTTGGGCTAAAAGTTTTTACACATTTGTATCCTCTTAACTGGATTAACTGTAAAATGTACGTATTGATTTTTTAGTTTTAGAGACCATTTTCATTAAAAGTATTTTCCAATAGCTTTTTCAGATAATTTATACTTAATTGTTGCCTGGTGCCTATATTTCAACCTCTTTAAGCTTCCCTTTTCAACTAACTTGCTGTCTTTAGGTTGTAAATGAAAATGCAAACATATATTTGAAATTTCATTAATTGAAACAGCAGTAAGATGGCAGTGAATGTTAACCATAACAGATTATCTCGTATCACTGGGTGAGGAGTAATAGGTGACACAACATAGGAGCTCTTCATATATCTATATCTTGTTGCTTTTTTTTTTTTTCCTGGCAACTTTCATTTAAATATATCTTGTTGCTAAGGCAGTAGCTGGCTTTAAGCCAATTAACAGCACACTGAACAGCAGTCCAAAAACTAAAAGCAGAGCTTAGGTCATTCAAGTTAACTGGTACTCAAGGTTACCCACTCCAGGATACTTTACATAACCAAAAACCTAGGAGAGCATTCTACATAGTGATTTTTTTTACTTCGTTTACATCAAATTTACCAGTTTTTAAAAAATTAGTCTGTTCTTTCACATTGTTGAGCCATGTTCTAAATTTTCATGTTACCATGTTTGGAGTATCATGTGCACTCAAAATGTGAACCTGCTACAAGCTTCTGGACTGTAAAACCTTGATAGGTCACTGTCAACAGAGAGATGCCTTATATAATTTCTCATGATAGAACTCCGCATTCTAACTAAAACCCCGCTAACCCTTTAAATGAAGCATTATGCCTGTTTTGTTTTTAGACATTTCTGATACAAGGTTTTCTGTATGGGAGGATGTATATATTCAGTATACCGAATTTATTCAGCTTTCAGTGTGGCAGTATGTTAAGATGGTTACCTAATTTTTCTCAGTTCTCACTGTTTTTCCATTTAAATGTTTCCATAAGTACATCATTTGGAAAAATACTTGACGGCAGGAGAACTAAAGGTGGGAAGAGAGTTTAACTTCTAGGACCACCCATTATAGCTCACTTTTTACCAACAAAGCAGTTTTTATATAGCACCTTAGGACTCATTTCTAATAATGTCAACTCAGGTGACCAGTAAAGGCCAAAGGGAAGAGGCTTAAGTGACTCACAAAAACTTTTGATATTCAGGTCTAATATGAAAGCTCTAGATCGGAATTCCCCACAAACTTCTAAGAGGACTAATATGAACACAGTGAATTGGAGAAGACTCTCAGGACCTAATTCTAGTTTCACCAGCTGTGGGGCCTCAAACCATTTGCTCTGGACTTTTGTTTCCCTAGCCATAAATGTGGAGGAATCCTCAGAATTTCAAGTTGCTCATGTATCTTGCCCTTTTACAGAGAAAGCCAGAGCTTTGAAGCTCAGATTTACCTAGCTTTTGCAGAAGTTTAACTTGCAACCTACCTCCCATTTCCTAAGTGTGTTTAATCATGCTGACTTCTCCTGTGAAATATATCTCGAAGCACCAATGAGTAAACACTGAGTAAACCAATGAGACCCCAAGCTACATCCGTAGAGACAAGTACCAGACTCAAACCTCAGTACCATCAAGGAAAACATGCTTAGGTTATCAGAATTGCGAAGGCTGTAGTACAAAAGAGAATAGAACTCGGGATCTGAGAAAGATCAGCCTTTCTCAGCATGTCACCTTGGGTGCTTCATCTTACTAAACTTCCATTTCCTCACGTGAAACGTACTCATCATAACTAGTCATCACATGTGAAACTAAGCACAGTGCTAGCACATATAAGGAAGAATACTTAGCACAGTGCTAGCACATTATAAGTACTCAATAAATGTTACAGATCAAGTATTTTGTAAGAGAATAAAAGTTTTTATGGATTGTATTTGCATCAATTACCTACCATGATGTAGAGCCCTCACAGACGACATTTAAATGTTCAGTTTGCCTAATAGCCTTCAATGAAATACGGATTCTTCTACTTGAAAAAGGTAAGCCTAGAGAAAGTAAAACTGATGACTCTGCAAGAAAAAATGTGCTCTGCTGTGCTGCTCAGTATGAGAGTGGCTTCCATTGTCTTAACACCTGTCTTAGAACAGGTATGCTATTTGCACTAAACACTCAAGTATTTATACCTATTAAGTTAAATTTCCCTTTTTAGAGTTAATGCTTCATTGTCTGTCTTTGAAAAATTTGCTTTTAAGTGAACTATTTCTTCATAAACCTCTTGTTCAGAGAAACATTTTTTGATTTGTCCAATGGACTGAAATAAAAGGTTAGTAAACCAAAATCTAGTTGATCCTCATTATTAGGATTCCTTACTTGTGAATTTGCCTACTCACTAGAATTTATTTGTAACTCCAAAATCAACATCCTTTTCTGGTCATTTGTGAATATTTGCAGTGATAAAAAATTGAGATCAGTTTATGTGCACAAGGCAATCCTGTGCCACGTATCAGCTCTCAAATCATAAACAGGTATCCTTTTTGGGATCTATTTAGTGCCAGGTTTCATGTGTATGCTTTTTGTTGATTTTGCTGTTTTAAGATGGTTCCCAAGAGGAGTAGTGCAGTGTGCTGCCTAGTATTCTTAAATGCAAAGGCGGCCGTGATGTGCCCAGCGTGAGTTACAGTGCTGTTGGCTGTGAATTCAGTTAATGAAATACTACTAAAGGTGTTTTCACGCAGAAGCATGTAGATGAAGGTTATATACTGACTGGCAGACAAAACTGTGACAAAAGGGTCACAGAATCTAATTCTCTTAGGAACTTGTCACTTATTTGCGACTTCAGTGTTCACAACCGCCTTAAAAAACAGAATTACCACAAACAAGAACCAACTATACCTTTCTGTCTGCTTTTCCCTGGAAATAATTATCCTGTATAAAAGTCTTAGAAGCTAGTGCTTCAGCATGACACTAAATCATAACAGACTCCATCAGATTTTAAACAAGGGTATAGGATAGAAAACACAAAGAGCAGATACACCTTTAAGAGGCAGATAAATATTACCTCCACTACTTTTTAACCTCAGAAGTCCTTGTATCCTCCATTAATAACTAAGAACCTTCTAATGATTTAAGGACGTTTAGATGGTAGGTATTATACTTTATCATATTAGAGCTATGCATAACAAATACTCCTCTTGGGAAATACAAGTTTATGTCAGATGTTTTATACAGGTCCTCTGGTTGAGATCCTTATATATTTTATGTTAGATTAACAGTAAGTAATCTGCCTTTAAACATCATTTATTAGTGTATAAATTAATAGTCCAAATTGAATATTTTGATATTGAGAACATTTCAGTTTTGCTAACAGTGTTTAAGCTTAATCATAATTACAAAAGTTTGATTGTCAAGAAATAGCCAACTGAAGGAATAATTTATAAATGGTCAGTACCTTTAAGGGGCTAGCTGAATACAAAGTAAATACTTCTCATGGCTGTAATCCCAGCACTTTGGGAGGCTGAGGTGGGAGGATTGCTTGAGCCCAGAAGGTTGAGGCTGCAATGAGCTGATTGTGCCAGACCTGTACTCTGAAATCTTTATCATACTATTTTTAATGTATGAAATACTGTTTATTAATATATGTATGTAAATAGAATACATATACACCCACCCACACCCCTAGGTCAATTTCTCAGGTCTAAGCTGTGGCTAAATTCACTTTTAAATACAAGGTTCCAAGTATCCAAGTTGCTGGGCCAGTTGCCTGTACCTGGAACAGCCTTTTTTTTTATCTTTTTTGTTTCTTTTTAAACTCATAAGACTCCCTACTTGAACAGCTTGAGTGAATTTCTATCATACTATTTATCACACAGTCCGATTACCAGTTTATCAGTCTCCCATTAAAGTGGGGGCTCCCTGAGAGCAAGGACTGTCATCTTCACTTTGCCTTGAAGAGTAGACATAGGTCCCAAATCATCTGCTAAATGAGGAATGAACAATATTAATCTTCAAATGGTGTTTGCCCATAATATGCAAATATTCTAAACTATGGTCTAATTTAAAATCCCCGTGTTTAAACAAAAATTATACCAAGGCTTTGAGATTTAGCTTGTGCTAAATCGTTTTTTAAAACTGTAACTCTGAGGCATTTTATTATAAAAAGCTAGTACTCATATACATAAAGTAATATGTACTTAAAATTCATGATACATTTACTTCATTTTTTAGCTTGACCTTCTAGCAGATCTTTAGCTTCATTGATTTTGGCTGCTATATACGGAGACCCTCCTATAGGAAGAAAGAAAAAAGAACAGTTTCAATACGGATTCTCGATTTCTGCCTGATACTCTTGTTTCAAGGACTCCAGTGCTTATCTGAGGTAGAAATAGCAGAAATGGTGTTTTTAATTTTTAAAAAATAACCTTGACACTGCAACTGGATGACCAGATGGGAAATGAAGTAACTTACATGGGAGAGATTTCTACAAAAACGACACCTTTTTAGAAAGCTTAAACTGACAGAAAAAGGATTTCTATAACGTATAATAGATACATATGTATATGCCTTTGAAATGGCGTTAGCCTATTCATGATTACGGGTCATGAGTGAACTTCAATTATACCATGTTATTTTAAAACCATGATATTCTCAGAGGCTTCTGAGCTCTGAGTTTACTAGAAAGATGTTTGCTTTACATTCTTCTTCTGTCCAGTTTTTCTTTTCCTATTATCTACTGTCCCTTCACAATGTCATCTACAGCTGCTGTCCTGTGAAATCTGCTGGAGGAGTGACTCTCAAAGTGTGGTCCGAAGACCAGCAAGAAATAACAGCAGCAAATTTAGTATACGTGTGTATTTTTGGGGCGCCACTGCAGACCTAAATACAAGCTAAATTTCATAAAAGAGACTGTGAAGTCAGATGTTGAACAATTAAAACCCTGTTTAAACTGTCAAAACCCTCTTTAGTAATGAAAGCTCTCTTCTGTATAAGGAAAAGGATATGACCACTAGAACATGAATTCTGTGGTCTATTTTTTGGTATTCAAAGGAATTCTTTCTTTTCTTCAGCACAGCCAAGGCTGCTTAGAAGTGCATCAGAAACGAATAAATAAAGCCCGTAAGTTTCTATCTAGGTAATCTCCATTTCAAGGTATCCAAAATGGATGAGGAAAAATTACAGTTTAGTTTTACTGAAATTTAGCATTTTAATTATAATTAAATGTAGGCCCAAAACCCCACAAAACATATTAATAGTAGCACTTACATCTGCTCATTCTGTAAATAAAAGTTTGCACTCAATTCCTTTTAAGACACCAAAAATATATGGCTCCAGCCTAGGAGACAATACTTACACACAGATTTAGGTGTTTCCCTTCTAATAGCCAGGAATTTGAGATAAAATTATTCCATTAGTAACAATTAGTCACACCAGCATCTACAACAAGGACTTAATGACTACTTACCTTTGTCAGGATGATTTAAAAGCATAATTCGTCGGTGAGCATCTCTTATTTTCCCTTTATTGGCAGTAGGGCTAATTAAAAACAAAGTAGTTACTTCAGCCTACTTCCTCATCACATCAAAAAAACTATACATAAAGGCCAATTAAAGACGTGTGACTGGTAAATTAACAGTACGAAAAGTTTAGAAACCTCAACACACACAAAATGCATGTCCTAAATTGGGGGACTAAACTGCTCCTTAGAAAAGTAAGGCATTCTCAAAAATGTACTGAACTTGTAATATACATTACAACAGTCCTTTTATTGATAAGAAAAACATGTTTAAGGATTTGAAAACGAAGGCAGATTTCCTTTTGTTTTTAAATGAAGTTTCACTGTGTGACCAGGCTGGAGTGCAGTGGCTTGATCTTGACTCACTGCAACCTCAGCCTCAGGTTCAAGTGATTCCCCTGCCTCAGCCTTCCGAGTAGCTGGGATTACAGGCACACACCACCACACCTGGCTAATTTTCATACTTTCAGTAGAGATGGGGCTCACCATGTTGGCCAGGCAGGTCTCGAACTCCTGACCTCAAGTAATACACCTGCCTCAGCCTCTCAAAGTGCTGGGATTACAGGGTGAGTCACCATGCCCGGCCGAAGGCAGAATTTCACCATAAAAATGTCAGGTAACAGAGAACACTGAACACTGATAATCTGCTGAGGAGTCTATCTTTCAATAAATGGAAAAGTGCCTGTGTTTTAGCAAACACTCTAGGGAAAAAAAGTGCTTAAGTGCCAGTGTGCCTTCTCATCTGAAGGAGTGCTAAGACCTTAAAAATAACATAAAAGGAACAGTACAGCTTCATTGACTAGAATTGATAATATCAATCTTCCTAGGACAAAATCCTCCATAAACCCCTCCTATTAAAGGAGAGAAGGTCTTTCTTATATTTCCTCATGGCTCTAGAGTGGTAGAAAAATGCTAAAAGTATTAGAGATTATTTTACCTTACACCTAGTATTAATGCTGCTTCCCGTTTTGTCATTTTGGGTTCAAACCCACCTCTGTAATAGCCACCACTGAAGGCCTGAAAGAAGAAATGCATTTGTAAATAAAGGTTAATAGAATAAACGAAGTTGCTTTAAAAAAGAAGTCTGGAATGTTCACAGAACCAGAAGAAAAACTGATACTTAAGAGGACTTTAAGTGCAATTCCCGAGGTATTTTAGCTAAAGCTAAATAAAGCTTATAAATAAATAGCAACATGTAGTATTTTAATGATTATTAAACAGATCCATTTTTTTTCCTGCCAATATGAACTACCTTAGAAATATAGGACAAAAGAAAAAAAAGTCTCTGAAAGCCAGCTCTTCCAGGAGTAAAGGAAAGATAGTTCCAAATTAGCCATATTATAGATAAAAGTCTGCAAGAAGTGCCTTAGGAACAGGATGTGGAGGTCTTTTGAGACAAGAGATTCAAGGGTATTTGTAGTAAGACTTTAAGATATAGATACAGAAAATACCACTATCAGGTCCTCTGAGCTTGCTATGTCAGAAATCATATTGGTAAAGCCTACAATCATTCCATTCTGTTACACTTAATCACAACATAAATATTCAACAGGCTATCACAGCCCAATCTATTCCTAACTGTGACCACAGAGGGTAAGACCGTAACATCAGGTCAAACCCTATAGCCTAATTCACTACAGTATGATGTTTGGGAGTGCCAGGGCCACATGGTAAGATCAGATCACTTTAGAATCTTACATCCCTCTGTGTGTGTGATGCAGATGAAGGAAAACAAGAACATGTACAGATGATACTGAAGCTGACAGTATATGAAAAAAGTGATATTAACTTCCACAAGAAAGTTAGGTCTAGCGGGGTACTAGATTTGTCAACACCCCACCCAACTCTGTCGCATATAACATCTGATGTTTCAGGGTGGCACCATTACAAAGTTCAGAACTTCTCTACTCTCCTGTGGGAAGCAAGGAAAAGGGTCCAAAGCAATCACTTAGAGCTTCAGGGTTGTTTGGAAATGTACCCTTCCTGAAGTGTGGCTCTAGGTTTTAAACATAAGCAGCGAAGAATTAGCAAAAGTGTTCATTAAGTCTTACAGATTTTGGTAGACTCTGAAAAACTTGTTTTACTTGAGGCTCCATATGCTTCATGGCTTGCAAAACATAACGGCCTAAAACCAAAAGCAACAGAATAAGTAAACTAAATCTCCAATCTCTCCGACTTCACTTCCGCCCCCAAACCATAAACAAACCTGCAAATCCTGCAGCTGCAATGGTCAGTCCAACTGCTACCATTGTACTGGCCTGGTGAAGGGGAGAAGAGCAAACATTTACTCCTCTGATTCCCACCCTTTCTCATTTTGCCCATTCTCCCATCCCCCAGCTCATTACAAACTACATTTTAATAGAAGAAACAACTTTTTTTTTTTTGAGTCGGAGTTTAGCTCTTGTTACTCAGGCTGGAGCGCAATGGCGCGATCTCCGCTCACCGCAACCTCCGCCTCCAGGGTTCAGGCAATTCTCCTGCCTCAGCCTCCTGAGTAGCTGGGATTACAGGCACGCGCCACCATGCCCAGCTAATTTTTTGTATTTTTAGTAGAGACGGGGTTTCACCATGTTGACCAGGATGGTCTCGATCTCTTGACCTCGTGATCCACCCGCCTCGGCCTCCCAAAGTGCTGGGATTACAGGCATGAGCCACCGCGCCCGGCCCTTTATTTTTTTAAAGAAATGGAGTTGCTTTGTTGCCTAGGCTAGTCTTAAACTCCTGGCCTCAAGCAATCCTTCCACCTCGGCCTCCCAAAGTGCTAAGATTACAGGCATAAGACACCATGCCTAGCCGAGAAACAACTTTTAAGGCGAAAATATTCTGCCCAATGATCCTTAAAACTGTGTCTGTTATACTCAATGCATTAAAGTCACCGGATTTATTACTATGGAAAAGAGGGCAAGTCGATTTGCTTATTTACCCCTGCAACAGTGAAAAATAAAATACCGTCCCTTTGAGAACTTCTTTCATCCCCGGACAAATTAGGTCACATTGAAGTTCAATCAAAAGTAGTGGAAATAAGGTTTCTGCTAGAGGAGGAAAAACTGCTCACAGACGGCTCCTGTGAAATTCTGATACAGCGTTTTCGAGGCTACACGTGGGCTAAACTAGACTAACGCCTTCGGCACTGCCCTGTTGATTCCTAAGGAGAGGCCCAAATACTTTCGGATAGGAGGGAGAAGACACCTGCCAGCGACAGCAAAGGAAGGATGCAGCAGCGTGCAGCCAGTGCCGTGACGACGTGTCAGGGCGAGGGCAGCTACAATCAAATAAGTTTCCACTCGTCTCCGGGTCCACGACAGGTCCAGGGAAGCAACCCCTTAGCGCCCAGAGCCCGGGGACCGCGGACACGGCGCTGGAGCGCCGTCAGAGGGACGAGGTAGAAACACAAAGACCCACGAGCTGCGAGCCAAAAGGGCTGTGCCCTGGCGAGCAGGACGCGCCCAAAGCCGAACCCTCCCGCCCGAAGCTGCACACCTCTGAGCCCGGGAGCTGAGGTCGCCAGGGATACCCGAGGCCGCACTCACCATGGCTGCTGCGGCTGGCTTCCCTCGCTTCCACCGGGAGCCCGGCTCATCCCAGCGCACAGACCGCGGCGGACGCCCGCACGCCCCGAGCAGAGCGACGCACCTGCGACCGCACGCACGAGCCGCCGAGCACCGGCGCCCGACGCCACGCCGCCGGCGCTGCCGCAAACGAAGCCGCAAAACTGTCGTAAAAGGGGTCGCGGAGGAGACGGAGAGTCGCGCCAGCGGCGGACGGGCGGAGATGGCGACTTCGGGTTGGTGGAAGGGTGGGCGGATCTTTTCCTTTCTCGGCGCCGGGGTGGGGCTTCTCTGTGTCTTCTGCCCTTTGCTCCTGGGCGGTGGGGGTTCGGAAATTCTTGCGGGGAAGGGCGCGGGCAACCTTCCTCAGCACGCGTTTCTTTTCCTACCTCTTAGCACCTCGTTTTGCCTTTATTTGGTTGATGTTAATAACTGTCAAGGGCAGTGAATTTACTTAAACTTTGCTGTAACCAATTTCCACCACGAACCCAAACAAATTGTCACCCAGTGTGGGAAATGAGATGCCCAGAAAATCAAATGAAGCCAACCGCACTGTGTTTCAGGCGCTGCTCGGTAACATTTTTTTTTTTAATTTGAAAGAACTTCATGTAAGGATGTGACTTGACAAGGCTTTCTGTGAATGTTTGGGTTTTCATTTTGTAGACGGGGATTCAAGACAGTTCATATTCTGTCTGAAAAGTGCTATTTAAGAGTTTCCCCCTCACCAAAAATAATAAGTAGGGCTGGATTTTACTCTTACGTGGACATCAGTTTTATATATCCGTACTTAAATGCTTGAGAAGAGAAAAACAATGGAGACAATAATTTTTTAAATGCAGTGTTTGCATGATCAAAATAAGTGTGGAATCACTTCCCACTTAGAATTTACAGAGTATTAAAAATCTGTTTACATTGCAACGCAGTTCTGCTTTAATGAATTAGTTAGTTATTAAACAAATATGCAAAATTTTTGGCTTCGTTTTCCTTATCTGTAAAAAGTTTGCATTTGACAATCCAAGAGCTCTTCTAGCTCTAAAGATTTTGTAATATAATTTATTGCCAACACATGATTTAAGGTGACATCCAGCACTAAGACACTAGCATTAAGTTTATAACTTTCTCTTTTGCCTCTCTTTTATCTAGTTTTTACCGAACAATTGCAGAATAATCAAGTGAGGCATAAGATACTGGGACCAAATTGGCTAGAATGCTATCTGGAAAATTTTATTATGTGTACTTTTGGTATGTACAAACTATGGCGTGCAGTTTTCTGGAGGAATAGATTTACAATAGAATCTAATTAGCTCTGAGACTTTACAAAAGCCCGGACTCAGGAAATTGGGAGTGGCAACACAGAAAGACACTTTGTTGAGCAGGAGATAGCTCTGTTTTTGATGGCAGATCAAACTGTCACTTACTAGCACTGTGACTTGGACAAGTTATTTCTGATTGAGTTTCCTCATTTGTAAAATGAAGGTAGTGGAGTTTTTGTGAACATAGAGATTATGCACATATTGTGTTCTGCATGTGGTCGTCACTCAGTGTGGGGCTGTTATTATTATGAGGGAAGCCAGAGTGCAAAGCCTTCCTGATTCTCATGATACCGCACTCAGGAATCTAAGTCTGGTTACCTCTTACCTACCTGTCAAGATCCTAGAAAGAGCTTTGAAAAGTAATCTTTTCAAATGTCCACTGACTGACGAATGGATAATCAATCCTTGCTTCTTCTAGCTTCTGGCAGCTGCCAGCATTCCTTGACTTGTGACTGAATCACTGCAGTCTTGTAAGCCAGCATCTTGAAATCTCACTCTGCTTCATCTTTACATTGTCTTGCTCTTCTGTTTATAAAATCTTCTTCTGGTTTCCTCTGAGAGGATACAAATTGCATTTATGGGCCATCCAGATAATCCAGGCTAATCTCCCCATCTCAAGATCCTTAACTTAATCATAGTTTAGAAGACTTTGCCATGTAAGGTAACATTCACAGGTTCCAAGGATTAGGACATGATATCTTTGGGGCACATTATTTACTATAGAAAGTAATAAAAGACAAAAGAGGGGGGTAGGGACAAAAGAATGAGAAAGGACTCAGGTACATCTTCTTAGTTTCTTGTCCCAAATTTGTAAATCGGGTAAGTCACTTCTCCTTGGAAAGAAATAAGTGAGAGTCAAGAGCAGTAGCTGAGAGTGTTCTTGCACTGTGGCTTTCCAACAGTTTTTTGACTGTCATCCTTAGTAAGAAATACATTTTACACTGTGACCCAGGGAGAAAATACATATTTGCACGTGCAAATATACCTAGTAGAAATGTATTTATGAGACAATACTTATCCTTACTTCATGAAATGCATGCTGGTCTTTTCTGTTTCTTAAAAAGTAAGTTCTAGAAAACCTACCAAACTCACAGCCCACTAATTGGTCATCATCTAAAGTTTGTAAATTATCACTCTGCAAAAATCCACATTTGTAACTATAATGCCAGGCAAATAAGGGGTTCCCCCACCAGCTAAAAACCATGTGCCAGACATTCTGCTGAATGCTTTACCTAGATTGTTTCATTTCACTCTGTGAAAGTAACATTTACTTCTGTTTTGCAGATGAGGCTATATTGCTAGAGGCATTTCACTTTTCCCCAGATCCTCTCTCTACCTTTTTGTCCTGTTCTGTGTTCCAGAGGAGCAGAAAAGGTTAGGAGGTGACCTTAATGCACTCTGTCAATGAGCAGCTCCCTCTTTTTCTGGCTTAGAGTTCATTTAGGTCTGTAGTCAGGAGATCAGAAGGCAGGAGGAAAGTGAATTCGTGGTTTTTATTTCCACCTCTCACTTTCTGGTGATTGCTGTAGGCTGACTGAATTGGTCTGCTGAAGAATACAGCTCCTACTGTGTGCATGTGTTCTGGCAATTACTCCTGCCTCTCCCTCCTTTAGATTTAAGGGTTGTCATGCCTTTACTACTGGCCCCTACTGCCTTGCTAGTCACAGGGCACTTGAATATTTTCTGCTAGTTTCCCTTAATCCTGTCCACATCTTGGTAAACAGCCCTCTAATCAAACTTTCCACTTGGCTGTGGTCTGAATGTTTGTCTCCCCACAAATTAATATGTTGAAACCTAATAACCAATGTGATGGTACAAAGAGATGGGGCCTTTGGAGAGTGATTAGATCATAATGGTAGAGCCTTGTGAGTTGGATTATCGCCCTCATAAAAGAGGCGTGAGAGAGACTCTCATTCCTTCCACCCTGTGAGAACGCATTGAGAAGGAACTGTCTGTGAAACAGAAAGGGAGCTGTTGTCAAACGGATTCACTTAGAGTGAAAAGATGGCTGTCTATGAAGAGATGGGCCCTCATCAGACACCACATCAGTCAGCACCTTATTCTTAAACTTCACCTTCCAGAACTCTGAGAAACAAATTTTTGTGTTTATGAGCTACCAGTTTATGGCATTTTGTTACAGCAGCCCAGACTAAGGCAGTGTACCATCTATTTCCAACATGAATAGTGACTATTATGTTTATGCTTTTTTTTTTTCCTTTTTGAGTCAAAGCCTTGCCCTGTTCCCCAGGCTGAAGTGCAGTGGCTCACTGCAGCCTCTAAGTCCTGGCCTCAAGCGATCCTCCCTTCTTAGCTTTCCAAGTTAAGGGGACTATAGGCATGAGCCACTGAGCCCAATTTGATGATGACTGTTATAAAAGGCCATTGCAATAATTCAAATGAGAAACGACGGTAACAGTGGAGGTAGAGTGAAGGGATGGACTCTTGCTTATATATTTCAGGTATAGCTGATAGAATTTGCTGACGGATGAGACGCATTGTGTGAGAGAAAGAGAGAAGTCAAGAATGTCTCCAAAGCTAGAGGCTTTAGCAACTGGAAGGACGGATTTGCTGCTGAATGGGGCTGGAAAAACTTCAGAAAGAGCAAGAAGCAGGAAGTGGAAGGCTTTTGCCATGTTCAGTTTGAAATGCCAATGAGAAACCACATAGTGTCGTTCAGTCAGTAATTGGACATACAGCTCTGGTGTCAAAAGAGAGGTTTGGGAGTCTTCAGCCCATGGGTGGTCTTTGAGGACATGGAACAGATGAAGTCATCCTTTGCATGACTGGAGCAGAAAAAAGAGGAATAAGAACTGTGTTTTGGGTTGCATCTGTGTTTGGAATTCGGTACATGAGGAAAAAAACAAAATGATGTAATAGACTGAAAAAGGGTAGGCGTAAGCCAGGTAAGGTAGTGTCTTGGTAGCCAAGTGAAGAAAGTGTTCAATGGAGGAAGTCATTAGCTGTGTCAAATGCGGCTAATATCCTGAGGGAGAGCCTTTGGAAACAAAAAAGCAAGACAAGCAAACGAGTGTTGCTAGTAGTCAAATAATAAAAAGAACTGAGAATTGACTACCGAAGGTCATATCATGAGACTTTCTGTGGTGTGATGGGAATGAAAGTTTGATTGGAGTGGGTTCAAAAGAGGATGGGAGGAGAGAGAGTGAAGATACAGATTCTAAAAAATCGCTTTCAAGGAATTTTGCTGAAAAGGAAATTAGAGAAATGGGCAGTATGAAAGGAGGAAGCAGTGTAAGGAGAGCTTTGTTTTTCTAAAAAACGCTGACAAGAATGAGCTTTGATAAGGTAGAAGAAACAAAAGTGGCCGGGTGCGGTGTCCTGCGCCTGTAATTGCACACTTTGGGACGCTGAGGCAGGCAGATAATGAGGTCAAGAGATCGAGACCATCCTGGACAACACGGTAAAACCCCATCTCTACTAAAAATACGAAAATTAGCTGGGTGTGGTGACGCACCTGTAGTCCAAGCTACTCGGGAGGCTGAGGCAGGACAATCACTTGAACCTGGGAGGCAGAGGTTGCAGTGAGGTGAGATTGCACCACTGCACTCCAGCCTGGGCAACAGGGTGAGACTGTCTTAAAAAAGAAAGAAAGAAAGAAAAGAAGAAAGAAAGGAAAAGAGAAGCATGTTTATCTGCTATAGGAATGATTTTATAGAGGAGAAAAATTGGAAAAATTTATTGAATTATGTAATTTAAGAATGCGAAGAAAATGTAGAGACCATATTTCTCCTGCAGTTTATTTTATAAATGAGGAAACAGGGCCTCAGAGTGGTTGACTGACTTTTCTAAATCCCTGACAGAGTCCTGTAATTGTTTGCCTTGCTGTTAGCTATCCAGAAGGTATGTTAGGGTCATAAAATTAGAAGGTCCTAGAATTGCGTTTGCCTGTATCTCCTTGCCGCTCTTTCTAGGGATTA